GGTTGATCGACAACAATAAAGATGCGCCTTTCATTAGACGCAGTGAGCAGTAACAGAAACTCAGTGCTCCATCACCAGAGGCATGCCGATGGCAGAGTTCAATAATGGAATGGCTGCATTTCTTTCAGCTGAAGCCTCTCATCCTAAGAGCCATTTCAATACTTGCTCTCCTAGATGAAATGAATCCACTGTGACTTGAACATATTAAATGCTAAAAGTAAAATAATTGATTAACAAAATAAACAGACTCTTCTTTGATCCAGCAGGGAACGAGAAGACAATGCTACATTAGGCTACGCTTCATATAGCTTAAGCAAAATAAAAGTTTTTATCACCACACTGGCTTATCGTAGTTGTCTTAGTTTTAAGGGAGTTGGCTTTGCAGGAAAAGTATGATGGAAATTCTTTTAAAACTTTCACATGATATTACATTAATATGGAAAAAAGAAGTCAACCTTTTGATTAGGGGTGTGGGAAATAATCATTTTGGCGATATATCGTGATAGTCGGCTGCCCAATATAATATCGATCTTTCACTTCTTAGTATCGATTTAAAAAAGAAAAATGGTTACATAAAACGTTGATGGGAAAATGGGCTACCTCTGCACCACCACTCTGGCAGAAAGCGCTGTGGAGCCCTTTAACTGTGCGTGCAGCACCAAATCTGTATTTGAGGCAATCACAGTGGAAGAAAACCCCAAACAACATGGATAATAATACCTAATCAATATTTTCTGATGAAAATATACAGCACTTGCTGTTTTATCTCATTTGATTTTGATGGCTGGGGAAAATATGGCAATATATAGTGATAATATCGTATCATGACCCAAGTATTGCGACATGTATCGAATCGCAACACTCATGCCAATACTCACCTCTACTTTTGATATTAATGATTAAATTCAAACTAAAAATATCACATACCTTCATAGAAACATGGTTGTATGATTTTCTGTTGATTTTTCAAACCGTTGATATCGGAGATAAACTGATACAGATTGATGAAGGACGATTACATAGATACCAGCCTGATTTCCAATATCTGCTGCCTTTTCTTCTTCTTCTCCATTTAAATGACAACTACACATTAATGTTTTCCATGTCTCAAATTACGCAATATTAAATGTACTAACAAATGGACGGATGCATGCACATATATGCCAATAGCAGAAGAAAAAAAGCATCGGTTTATCTTCAGTTATTATTGCTATTTTAACATTAATGTTTATCATTTAATACAAGAAGTAGCTGCTGTAAAGCAGCACAGAGGTCCCATAGATGCTGGTGAAGTTTCTCAGTCATAGTCATTCCAAAAAAAGAAAATTAAAAACGATCTACTGGACTTTGTTTCCAAGTTTGAAGACGTTTCGCTTCCCGTCCAAGAAGCTTTTTCAGCTTCTTGGAAGTCCAGTGGATCGTTTTTAATTTTCTTTTTTAGGCCCCTATAGATGTATTTGTTGTAGCAAAGCAGCCAATTTCACATAGGTAAGGTTTAATATGGAATTCTTTGTTTTGTTTTTGTAATACATTTTCATTATGGTCATAAAACACAAGTTTGATGCAATCTAATTAAACTCTATATCACCACTTCTCCGTATATTGAAGTAATTAGCCCAGTTTATAGCTACTTGTCTTGATTTATAGTTGATCAGAAACATGTGCTTGAGTTTTAAAGCTTTTTGTTTTCGATGGAGTTGTTTTAAATTTTACATCCTCTCTGCTGTGAATCCATACAGCTATAGTTTCATCACCCCTGTTGATTATTGATTGGCATAAACCAGAAGCCAAACTAAACATTTTCTATGCAGCCAGCTGTTGAAACCTCCTCCACTCCAGCCATCTCTCTTGTATTTAATGTTGGATTGCTTTCCACGTGTAAAAGCAGCCTTTTTTCCTCTCCTCAGTCAGCCTGGGCGTAGAAGGAGGAGAACAAGATCCCATTCTTTCTGCCTTTAAACAGTCCCACAGGCCTTGGAACAGTCACTCTATAGCCGATTCCAACACACATGCCCGCAAGCATTTCTAGCCTTACGCACACACACTCTCCTTACATCCTCCAACCAGCCCATAAGGGCTAGTTCTTTGCCAGATTTTCAACTGGCAAACACGCAATTCTTAAATCATTTAAAGTCAGCTGGACGCAGTCGGCCTTAAAGCTTAAGATGTTTTTTTTTTTTCTTTGGAAGCCTGAGGCCAGAGCTCCCATTGCTCCCATTAAAACCGATGGCTGGTCGGAGGCGTGTAAATGAAGGAAGGAAGATGTAGAGAAGACGGTCTGGTTGAATGGAGAAAAAGATGCAAGCTTGGCTTTAATCATTAGAGAAAGTCAGGACGATGTTGTCTAGATCATTTGGTTCCAAAGTTCAAGTAAGGACTTCTGGTTTAAATTGAAAACAACTGGGGATGTTGCATAAAAATGTTTTTTTCTTAACTGCAGCTTTCCTTAAAACTAAACCAATTTGGATGAAATTAAACGTATGACACAGGTTTGTGGTAAAGATGTCTGTCGATCTGTAATAAAGTTTGTAACACTTTTGATTCTGGTGGCTTTGAAACGGCTTTATCTTCTGCTGAGCTTAGTGGCTCCTTATCCGCCACCGGGGTTTGTGTTTTAAGGTGGAGGTAGAGAGAAGATGGAGATTGAAAAATGTCAAGTGATGCATTCAAGTTGTCTTTCAGTGGGTTTTTTCATAAAGGATTGATAGAGCTGTTATAGAGCTTTGTAGCTTGTTGCTTTTTAGTATTTATTTTCCTTTCACTAAAAGCTTGAGGTGCTCCAGGAATTTGACTGACTGCATTTGAACAATCTTCAGCATGACTACTGCTGGCCTTGGTCCGGCCCTGTGGAAACTCCCACACATCAGGGCCAATTTGTTTTCTCGGTTTTTGTGCTGAAGGGAACATTTTAAGTTTGAAAGTTCTCAGAAAGTTAGACAATTTCAGCATCATAGCAGCATCTAAAGAGGATCCAAAAAGGTGGAGAGAAGTTGGAAGAAAGTAATATCTGTGCAGCCATTCGTGCTGATCATCCAGGCGCCTGCTTTAGGGTTTAACAGGAACACTATCCCAAAGTATTGCCTTAGCCTTCACGTTTTCTTTGTACGTCTGTCTTTTATTGGTGATAACACTGGGTCTTAATTCTGCAGGAAATGTTTGCATACATAGTTGTGTAACTTTTAAAGATAAGTTCACACCTAAGAGCGAATTTCGCTGCTGAAAGAAAAAATGTACTCCTCGACCCTGTTGAAGAGGCTGTAGAGCTACGAGGCAGAGCGATGAGAAGGCCGCAGTTCTAGGGAAGCAAATGTCATGTTTTTAGGCAAATTCAGTGGAAAGAGAGCGCCAACATCCCTGCCATGTAGTGAAACTCCCAGCAATTGAAGAATCTTAACTGTTGTTTACTTTTGAGACATTAAAACCAACAAGGGACTTGAAGTGGCTGTGATCTATGGGACCAAAGCTTAAGAAGGTGGAGAAAATAATGTTGATATAAGGCTGATTTATACTCAGAAACCAGGTCGTCTGCGTGTGTCGCAGTAACGCAAATTTGCCCCGCCCCTTCCGCAGACACTCTGGTGCACCTCACCAAAATTGTAGGTGACCGTAGACAACAGGCATCTGATTGGTCAAATCTACATCCACTCAACACTATCCATATTTCCTGTTTGGTACCTTACCAGCTTGTTTTGTTTGTATGGCCGCGATTGAGGAAATCTACTCATTAAGATGGACCAGCTAGAGGAGCGAGGTGTGTGAGAACGCTGGGACAATTTTCCCACCTGGATCCCCGCTCTTTTTTGCCCTCATGTCCCTCCGTTGTCTCACAAACTTGCCCCCACTTCCTCACCGCCTCGGCCGTATCTAGACCCACAGCTAGTTCGTGATTGTCCCTCTTGCGTTGTGGCGTGGAATACCATATCGCAGACCATGCTTCAATATTGAGCATAAATCAATAATTTATCTGCGACAAGCTCACTGCGACACACTGCTGATGGAGAATAACCAGCCCTAAAGGATGAAGTAGGGAAAGCTCGTCTGAGGTTCTTAAATGGTTTTTAAAAAGCCGTATTTTAGCCTTAGAAAGACTATTTGTCTTACTTTGGCTCAAGAACAGACGCTGGCCAGCCATCGCCTATTTCTCACTCTGATGCTCTGTCTGTTGGGCTGCTCTGATTTACCACCATCCTCCTCCTATGGTTTGTTTTCCAAAGTGAAAAAACACCACTGTGACTTGGTCTGTAAAGTCCATGTCCGCCATGTTGAGGCGAAACAAAAAAATCTGCTGACTCTGTAACGTAGTGGAGCCCTTTCCCCGCAGTCCGAATTGTTTTTCCTGGCCAGGCCACATGTCAGACGAGTAAAAGCACAAGAAAGATCATGTTATGCACCATAACATTGCTAATCATGCTATCGCTAATGAAAAACACAGATAGTTTTAATATCTGAATTTGACTAAATCATAAGCAGTTACAATGTTTTTTAACTAGAGAAAGGAAAATGGCTACAAAATTGATTAGTGCATCTCTACTAAAAACATTTAGCATTTGGATAAAATAACTTTTAATTAAACCTAAAACTGTGAAAATAAGATAAAAGAAGATAAAAATGGCTTCCTGGTTTCCTCGTGGCGTAAAAGATCATTCCTCAGATTTTCATTAGTTGTATTTTTCGTTTCTATTTAGCGTTTATCATTTTAGGCTCTAATTCGTGATATTTAAATACCTTTTAAAAGTTCAAATATAAATCAATTAAATAACTGAATTGTTGTATAATCGAGTCATTCATGCTGAGGCCAAAGTGAATCAAATGCTGGAGTTACTATCCTCCAAAGCACTTTTATAGCAATCCAGGACCTGCTCCTTTTCCACCCATGGGCCTGTCAGGTTTAACTCTGGCCATTAAAACCCAGAAATGAATAACCAAAGCAGCTGTAGAGATTGGTATGCAGCTGATTTATTAAAAAGGGCTCCTTCCCATTTTGTCCTTGTTTGTTTCAGCGCTTCATCCAGTACCTGGCCTCCAGAAACACCCTGTTCAACCTGAACAACTTCTTGGATAAAGGTGCTCTGCAAGGTAAGAGATTTAATTCCCTTCGAGGTTTCTGATAGTTGGTTTTCACTAAACTTGGAGAGGATGAAACCTCAAAGGATTTCAGAGAAAAAACCAGAATAATTCAGACAGTTAAAGGTGAGGGTATCTTCCCTACATCTTTGACTTGCAATGAAGAGTCTGTTTGAAGATGTTTGACACAAACACCATCGATGTTTCTCCTCCTCGTTCCACTGTTCAGGTTACGACATGTCAACCTTCATCAGGCGATACAGTCGCTACCTGAATGAAAAGGCCATGTCCTACAGACTGGTTGCTGTGGATTTCACCAAGATGAAGAGAGGGTAAGACACACACACCCATACACACACACACACACATCCCGTTCTACATGAGGACCATGCGTTGACTCCTTCTATGCCCTAACCCTAAGACTAACCATTACCACTGCATACCTCACCCTAACCAATTCACACCTTAGCCCTAAACTTAACCATTAGCAAAATAGCTTGTGAAGACCAGCAAAATGTACTCGCTTTGTAACAACTGGCCTCAATTTGATGGGGAAATTGGAAAACTGAGAGGGCTAGACAGGTACACACACAGACACACACTTTTTGCCATCGTAGTCAGGACCATTTGTTGATTGTCATTGATTTTCAGTCATTTTAAACCCTTTCTGTGCCCTAACCTCAAAGCTAACCCTAAACATAACCATGAGCAATGCATACCTCACCCTAATCCTAACCCAATTGAACCTTAGCCCTAAAACTAACTGTCAGCAAAGTAGCATGTGAGGACCACTAAAATGTCCTCACTTTGTAACAACTGGTCTTCAGTCTGATTATGAACATGAAAGCATGGTTCTCACTCTAAGGGCTAGACAGGTATACACGCATTAACGTTTTAAAAATGAAGGACCTTCAGAAGTCCTTTATGGAGAGAGTCTAATCAAAGATTGTGACGTCTGGAGCAGCCGGGGCCCTACCCTGGATCCAGGCCTGGGATTGGGGCTTGCAGGCAGGCACCTGGTGGCCAAGCCCGCCCTACTGTGGACCCACCACCAGCAGAGGGATCCATAGCGGTCAGCTGCAGAGAGAACTGGGTGATGGTCAAGGCGGGGTGCCTCGATGACCCGGTCCACACACGAAGCCTCTGGCTGTTGGAAAGTGGTCTGATCGCCTCCCTCACGAGGTGTTCCAGGCAGGTCCTATTGGGAGGAGGCCTCGTAGAAGGCCCAGGACACGCTGGAGGGACTGTCTCTGAGCTGGTGTCTCCTCATGGTCCCCCCAGAGCAGCTGCAGGAGGTGTGTGTGGATCAGGAAGTCTGGCAGGTCTCTGCTTAGACTTCTGCCATCGCGACCCAGCCCCAGATAAAGATGGACAGATTGATGGACCATCATGATTTTTCTACATTTTTATGGTCTAATCCACCAGAAAACCTCAGTTTCATAAAAATATACAAGTACACAAATATATGGTGACCATTGGAGCTTTTTTCATGTTTCTTATCTTTCAACTAAAAATTTTATTATACTTGATTTGGATTCTGTGCAACCCAACATCTTTTTTACCCAATAGAAACCCTTTGATCAGCTGGGTGCAAGGATCAAAGTAGCTTCTACTAAATGTAAAGAGAACAGTCCCGTACTTTGTGTGCCAACTATCTGTTGAATATTTAGCTGTTTTTATTTTTTCTCTTTAAACTAATGAGGCCACCACACTTTCACACCGAGTCATGATGTTAATCATTGCAAACTCTCACTCTCTCAGCCAGGAAGTGAGTCTGTATTTTTCCTTCAAGCTCTAAAAGACACCCACTGTTTGTGAGTTATTAGCAGCAGGAGGAAGCCGGGGGTTTAAAAATAAGTAGCTGTGTTTTTTGTTTTTTTTTCCCAGCAGGTTCTATCAGAAAGACCTGTGTCAGACTTCTGAGCCAAGTCTCGTTAATTTTCTAAAAATGTGTCTCCAGACGTTTATGAGCTCCTTTCCACCCCCACCTGAAGCTCTGCTATTAGATAGAAAGCTTAGCAATGCAAAGCTCTAGTCTTACACTCATAATTTGCATCGTTTAGCGATTCCTAATTTCTTAGAACATTTGTATAGCTTTCCTCCTCCAGGCCTGCTGTGTAACTGTGTCCGTGTGCTCCTCCTTCAGTGTCGACGGCGTGATGCGAACCATGAACACAGAGAAGCTGATCAAGACGCTGCCCATCATCCAGAACCAGCTGGACGCTCTGCTGGATTTCCAGGTATCGTCTGCTTCAACAACACGGTCGATTTGGTTTCCAATCAGAGCCGAAAGCTTCGAGACCTTTTGCTCGATGGCGCGTAGGACAGCTGGAATGGTGACCGATGTCATGTTAAAGGGAGCAGAGACTGGAGTCGGGTGGAGGGATTTTTTGTCTTTTATACCAGCGAGCTTCAAAGGCTGATAAAAATGAATTAAGGATCTAATTGGGATGCAGAGCAGATGTGTGAGGGAGTCTGCCTCTGGCTGTTTTTGTGTTTATTCTTGACGTTTCAAACAGCCTGTGATTATGTGCTTTCCCTTAAAACCAGGGAGGAAAGGTGACGATCTGATTTCTGTCTCTTCTCTCTGCAGGCCAATCCTAACGAGCTGACCAACGGAGTGATCAACTCTGCCTTCATGCTTCTCTTCAAAGACTCCATCAGGCTCTTTGCTGCTTATAATGAAGGAGTCATCAACCTGTTGGGTAGAGCACACCTCTTTCACACTAGCATGTCATGTTAATGTCAATTCTGACTGCAGTTTGCCACGTTTCCGGAAGGAAGTGTTCATTAGCTGAGGAATCGATTATTATCCAAGTGTTTCTGGAGTGTTTATAAAGCAAAGAGGAAGGAGTTTATACGGGGAAGTAGTCCAGAAGCTTAGACGCAATAATTCCTGGTTTAGATCTTTAATAATCGGAAGCGTTTCATCATCCACGGGTTTCTAATCTAGAGAATCTCTGCAGGCCTCCACGTGTTGATCTTTGAGATCTGCCTTCAGGCAGCGCTGCATGGAAAGCAGACAGAATTCATTGGTAAAAATCCCAGCTGTAGCTGAGGGACTCTGCTCAGAAAACAGGTCAGGGAACGTGTTTAAATGCTGCAATCACAAACTTTAATTTCTTTAGCTTACATGCAATCAAATTAGAACATCACAAGAGCTGAACTCAGAAAGTTTGGCTTTTTTTTAATAGATTTTTTTTTAAGATCGGAACAAGGTTAAGGGAAAAACATTTTCTCCTGTGGATCAGAGCTGTTCCCAGTCCTTTTTAGAAACTGATCTCCACTCATGTCTAAACCAAACACAGATGCTCACATTTATATGGACCATAAAGTTTGTTTGGAAAAAAATTATGTTTGCGTGTTTATATATACGCAAACACATACATTGTTTATATATATATATATATATATATATATATATATATATATATATGTATGCAGTGCAAATCTGTCCAGATTATATTCTATCCTTTAGGATTAGCGTTCTGCATGCATGTAAACTGCTTCTAATGGTGAAGGATGTTATTTTCAAAACCATTCACATGCACATAGAATATTGATGATGTTTTAAAGACATTTCCAGTTCCCACGGTCCCTGAATGCAACAGCTGGGAATAGGTTGTTTAGCAGCTGTGTTGAGCTGTTAGTAATGTTAGATTTTTTTTTTTTTTGAGCAAGTTTTTATTTTTCAGGTATAAAAAAAAAAACAATTTTCTTTTTGTTTAGTTTTTTTTTATTTTTCCAGTTTTTTTTTATTTTATTTAGGTATGAAATATTTTGAACAAACTTATTTTTTTCTGTTTTTTTTTTGTTTGTTTTTTTTACAACCTTTTTTCAGGTTATTTTCTTTAGTTTTTTAACAAAATTTTGGCTTTAATTTTACCCAATAAACCTGTTCACAGTTTCTTATGCTCAAACTATATACCGTAAATTCTCTAATATAGGCCCGGGCCTCTATTTCACTCAAGTGCATCGCGGACCAGGCCTTTATTGGATAGAGGCCAGTGTTAGAGACAGGCCTCTATTGCTATTTGAGCAAAACAGACTACCAGTGGAATGAATAAAAA